AAACACACCCAAAAGCTACAAGGGTTCTAGATTAAGTCTATTGCGTCAATATGCCATGAGACAGCCAGTCCTTGCTTCTTTAAATACACAAAAAAAGAAATAACATCACTCCTGTATGTCTTCCCCCCTCAAGAGAAAAAAAGGAAAAATGTTTCAACTAAGAAAATTTGGGATGTCCAAATGAACCAATTCGTATGCACTGAAGTTCCCATATGAAGAGGAGTCCCCTTGATCAACAAGTCAGGGGAGAGTACGTGTGACATCCTACAGAAAGCATCCCTGATATCAGAAAAGCAAACGAAGAGCAGGCCAAACAGCTCACTGGTTCGAGGCAGAGACCAGCTTGGGACCTGAGCTCTGTGCTGAGGCCCCTGCTCAGAGAAGCCTATTGGTCTGCCCTCAGGCACCTCTGCCAGGAAGGCTGGGTACGGGACAGGCCGTGCTCCCAGAAACGACGATGCACGGGAAGGAATGGGTCTACAAGCCTGGGCTGGAGTATGCACCTCTAATGTGTCATTTTGGTCCAGGGTATGTGGAAGTTGGCCTGGTAGGACAGCAGATAAAACCAGGTATGGAGGGAGTTTTCAAATGACAGCAACAATGACCGAGAAAGCTCAATGAGATAGGCAGGAGATTCACATTTTATTCAAAATCAAAACAAAGAATGGAACAGTCAGGCGTGGTGGTTCATGCCTTTAATCCCAGCACTCGGGAGACAAGAGGCTGGTGGATCTTTGTGAGATTGAGGCCAGTTTGGTCTACCTAGAGAGTTCCAGAAACTCTGATGCAATAAAAAAAAAAAAAAAAAAAGGAAAAGTCCAACCACGCTCCTTTGTTTATACATTCTGCCATTGTAACTGCTTAAGAATGAAATAACAGAATGACACCAGATGTGTCAAGGTCAGGGAGGTTGTCAAATGAACAATCTGCAAGTATCATACCCTCATGGAATCTACTGAAGTTGTTACAATTTCCTGTTTTTGAGGTATTTAAAAAAAATTGTGACAGTGGATGATGCAAAAATGGAGCTTTCTGTCGAGTTCTTAAAACATCAGCTTATGTGGACACAAGAAGTTTAGCACCAACTAAAAGCAGCCTTGGTGGTACTGAGGGACAAAGAAAGCACCTGCCTTTAGTCTGAGCACCAGGAGTACCAGTGAGTGGCAAGAACCAAAGGCTAGCATAAACCTCCCTGCAGGGGCCAGGTGAGAAAGGAGCTTCCCCGGACCTCGGCCTGACCCCTCAGGGCTTAGCACCCTGGGTCACAGGAGGACACCTTCCATGCCAGAAGAGGCAGGAGCCCCCAACTCCCCTTTCCAAAAGCCATCGACCCTGCCCTTTCTAATCTGGCCTGAGAAGATGGCACAAATCCATAGTGCCCACCCAGCCAGGCAGGCCACTGCTGACCTCAGCAAGGAGTGAGCTGCCCTCTCTACTTGCCTAGCTTTGGCCACCAAGGGAAGAACAACAAAACAAACCCAAAACACTGCTCAGAGCAGACAGTAGCATGGTAAACAGAGGTCTAAGAAGACAGCACCGAAAGAGATGGGGTGGGGGGTGGGGAGGGGGCGGGGAGAGCAGAGAGAGACCTGGAGCCCACCTTGTTTTTGGTTGGTTGTGGTTTCAAACGTTGATAGCACCTCAGGGAGACAGGTTCAGGGACAGTCACATTAAAACACCATAGCACCATTTTATTAGACTATTTCAATTCATAAAAATGCTTCCTAGTCCAGAAAACACACTTCAGTAACAAAAGGAGATATTGGTTGAGGCACGTCAGGGATATATCAGAATTTTCTACCAGCTTGGTCTTGGTTTGAGATCTCGAGGCAGTTCAACTTCAAGAAGAAAGTCTGTCCTCTCTGTGACATCGGGTTTTCAGCTACTGGCTGTCAACCATCCTCACACATCTGCTGCTGTCAGATACAAAGCTCTGCTATGTCTCTGCTAGCTTTAACAAACTACTGTTTCCCTAAGAGGCAGGTGGAAGGACCAGTGGGGCAAGCAGGATCCCTTTCCACACACTGTCTTCTCAGTAAGAAGGTAAAGTGGCACCCAGGAGGGCTGAGGGTGGGGCACTTAGACCTGGCTAAAAACTAGACCCCCAAACCGAATCCCCCCAATCTATGCAACACCTCCAGTGGCGCTTCCGACAGTAAGATGGTTTCTTGAGCTAGCTAGCACCAGTTATTTTGTGAGAACCTGCTGCAAAGTGATTTTTATCCTAAAAAATCTCTTGGCATAGAACTTTGCAAGTACTTCCCTCGCACTCAGCAGGCAGGGAAACAAAATAGAGCAAAAGCAAAAACAAACAAAACAAAAATGGGAAGCAAACATTTGCACTGCATGTGGACCATGTCCACCGATGGGCACACTGGGGAGATGACTCGCAGACGCCAGAGCCTTCCCTTGCTATAATAGTACTCTTAAAACTTGGTCATGCTGTCAGGTTCCTTAGTTGCAATGGCTTTATTTTTATTCTCATTTTAAAAATGTCTTGTCAATCATCTTTAGGACTTAAAAAATGATAGTGCCAGTAAAAAATAAAAGTTTTGATTTTTCTCTTTAAGAAGCCTTCAGCAGCAAGGGGTGGGGGGGATAAAGAGCTGTGCATAGTTATCTCTTAAATACTCATCTAAAGCATGCTCATTTCAATGACTGAGATTTGAGGTAGGTTATATATGTAGTGTGTGAAAATCAGTACGGGCTCAAGCACAGCCACAGCACGCTGAGCCCTGGAACAGCGCTTGCTCGGACCAGGAAGGTCCGTGTGGCCCACCTCTTGCCTTACCTCACAGCAGCCTGCTTCCTGGCCTAAAGCTTATGTACCAAGGCCATACAGGCTGGGGGACAGACAGTACATGCTTTTAGCTTGTACTGGTTTCTCCTTTCATCTGAGGCTTTGCTACCAAAGGGTGATGAGGGTAAGAACATACTGAATACACGTCAGAGATCCACACACTGTCAACACAGAATCATCTGGGCCACACTCGGGACCTTCCAAGCCAGTAGCCAACCTGGGGCTTCTACGGGCCATACAGACGGTCACATTCTCCAAATGCTTTGTAAAATTCATATTTCTTGCTCAAGATCATTTAAAATGAAGTTTTTCATTTCAAGGCACCCCTGCATCTACCTAAGCATGGAGTCACATGAGACCTGCGTAAAAGTACTGATGCAATTAAGCAAAATAGCATTTAAAGGACCCAACTTTCCCTCAAAACTAGAAAATTAGCATGCTCCTTAAAGACTCTGCCTCCTTTAGGTTTGTTAAATGGAAGGTCAGAAGGTTTCCTATAAATCTGAATTCTGAATAATTCTAAATCCTGATAAGCTCTTGGGTATTTATTTCAAAAGCAATAATATTTCATTTTTTGTCCTGTAAAATAAATGCAACTTTACAGAATATGGTAAAAGTGGATAGACAAAGCACGTTAAATATTCAGCTACTATTTACAGTTTCTCCCACAATTACATGTTAAAATGTACTTTTTATTCTTTTCAAGTTGCTGCTTAAATCTAGGCAAAAGTGCTTAAAAAAGTCTTTCACTATTTACAGTTAAAACCAGACCACAAAACTGCTCAGGACAATTTACAGCCACGTTCTGCCAGCGCTCCCGAAGGCCATGGTCAACACCAGCCACTCGGCTCTCAGCTCTGGCACAAGGCACCAGGAAGCTCAAGAACTTGAACTTGCCTTCAGCATTGTTATGGGACTGCTAAGCTCAATTATGAAGACCACTGCTTAATAAACTCCTGACGTCTCAGAGATTGGCTGCCACTCACTGTGTGGCGGCTCCCCACATTGTGTGGCCTGATGAAGCCCCCTACTCAAACACGTCTACACAAATAACACGGAAAACAAACACCCCAAGAAGTCTGACTTGCTAAAGCTGAGTGTCATGTCCACCGGTCAGGCCCAACCTCTTTCGACAATGTCACAAAAATTAGAGCACCGACATTTTCATTTCAAAGAACTAGATGAATGCACCAGGATTTTAGAATGGGTGTGTTACAAGGGGTGAAGGGATGAGGGAAAAGAGAAAGAGATCCAATGGAGAACTGGCCCCCCCAAGAGGGAGGAAAAGCATAGCAACCTGTTGAAAACGTTTGACTCTTGCACTTTAAAATGAAGTGTAGCCCGTGCTATGCACACACAAGATCACGGGGGGGGGGGGGGGGGGGGGGGCTGGGAGGCATGCACCATTGTCCGATATGGAAATCCAGGAATGAGGATGATGCGTGACCTGCCGTTACACTGGCTTGCTGAGCTCTTGCAGGATGCCACCTGCCCTGAGAGTCAGGAAAGTCCCAGCACAATACTACAGCACCAGGCTCCAGCACCATACAGCACCTCACAGCACCTCATAGCATAGCACAGCACAGCACCGCACACAGAGCCATGCTGGCTCTTCACAGCTTGGGTTCAACTTCTTGTTTTTAAAGATACAGTAGCCCTTTTTCAGTATCAACTTAAACTTTGGGGCGATTTTTTTTTTTAAAAAAAACTGCCACTAAGCTTCCTTCGGCCCAGTACTCACTGGCTGATCAACATGGTGGAAAGGGCTCCTAGGAGCCTCTAGACTCCTGCTCCAGCGTGAGGTGCTGCCTAGTGAACCAGGACATCGTATGACTTGATAAATAACGGACAGAAGATTCAGTGTGGAGACTAGCAAGCTTGAAGCTGTCTACTTCCAACCTGGTTTCTGGGGACATGGACACCATCTCCAGGCCAGGCCCCCAGGTGTCTACAGCCTCTCTCATCCCAGCGGAGAAGAAAGGGACTTCCCTAAAGGCTCCCCTGCCTGTGGGAAGGAGGGATGTACTGGGGCTACATGCTACCCTTGGCTCATGGAGGGGGCAGATGGCTGGGAGAACCAGCAGCTCCCGGGAAGGCCAGGCTCACCAGGTAAGAGTGGCACTGCTGCCTTTCCTGTCCATCGGTAACCATTACTATTGTCATTAAAAAAAAATCCAATAAATACACATTTTAAATGGAATTTAAAACTACTCTCCTTTGTGAAAGGACACTATAAACTTTCTTTCCATTATTGTGATATACAAGGATAAAGTTTTCAAAACAGAAAGATAAAAGCCCCTCAAAACAAGGGGAAAAATTTAAAACAATGTGGAGATATAAATATTTAGATCACAAAAAAAAAGAAAGAAAAAAAATCACCCGACAGCCGTAGTTTCTTCTTCAAAGTGCTGGGGACTGGGGAAAGGGAGGGGCGGGTCAGTTCTGAGGTTTGGACCATAAATACATATATATGATAGGTATATCCATATATGTAGATATAGAAGGACTTCTGCACCCCCAACCCGCCCCAGGGCATGAGGGAAAAGCACCACAGAGACAGCTCGGGCCAGGCCCGACGCTGAGGTACGCTGGCTCCCGGCACCTAGATCCAGCGACTGTAGGGGCCAGTGACCTTCGTGTAGGCGTAAGAGGACACGGTGACTGCTGAGTCTGTGGGCATGGCCAGCGCCTGCCTGGTGGGGACGGTCCCCTTCTTTTCCTTGTGCTGGGGCTCGGCCACCACGGCGCCCCCCCACTTGCGCTTCTTCCCGTAGAGCTTGGCCTCCTGCTGGCCCAGGCCCAGACGCGCAGCCTCCTCCTGTCGCTGTCGTGCCCGCTCGGCCAGCTGCTTCATCTTGGCTTCCCAGAGTGCCAGCCCATGGTTGGGCTGGTTGAGATTCTTGTGCTGGTAGAAGACCAGCGAGATACGGGTGGGGTGGCAGCGGTTGGGTTTCTTGAGAGGGGTGGTGGCGTGTAGCTCTCGCCGGGCACACTCTATCAGAATGGAGCCATGGGCCGGGGCCACAGCCACACCACCGATGTTCTCGTCCAGGAAGTTGTGTTCGCTGTCTGACCACAGCTCCTCCTCTTCCTCTTCCACTCCAGGGCCGCCCTTCTCATCCTTCACTGACCCCTTGCTGGAAGGCTCCTCGGTGGCTGTCCCCTCCTCCAGGCTGAAAGGATCCCACAGCTTCTCCTCTGACTTCAGGGCCCCAAACAGCTTCTCGCTGGAACCCAGGGGCATGGTAAAGGCCTGCCAGGCTTTGTCCAGCTGGCTGGCCCCGGGTGTGGGAATCCTTCCCTCTTCTCCTTTCATGGGATTCCACAACTTGTCTTGGAATCCAGGGCCACCTTTCAGGGTAGAGTTGAAATCCCCTGTTCCCACCCCCCATGGCTTCTCAGTCAGACTGGGGCCAGCCAAGGCCGAGGTACTGTTCCCAAACTTGCAGGGACTCCATGGTTTGCCTTGCAGCCGTCCTCCAGGGTTGGGGGCTGACTGTTGACCTTCACCAGTGAACAGTCCCCACTGGCTGTCTGGGAAGTGTGAAGGGGTCAGACAGCTGGCCCCAAAAGAACTGAGCTTGTCAGGGACAACGCTGGGGCTCTCTCCAGAAGGATACATGCCCCAGCTGCCACCCACACTGTTAGTCCTTTTGGGGGACATGCTTGAGCCTCCTGAGTACTGTCCCCATAGGTGACTAGGCCCTCCATTCTGAGATGCCTCGGGCAAGGATGCTCTGCTCAGCTTACTAGGGTCTCTGGGCATAGATTCAGTCTGGGTCAGAGGGTCTACTGGCTCTTGCTTAATGGATCTGTTGTAGCAGTTGGAGCTTTGAGCAAAGGGAGAGGGGTCCCTGGATGCTGGGTGGAGCTGTGGGACCTTGGATAGCAGATAATCCTTGGGGCCTGGGTAAGCAGGCTGCTGGTGGTGAGGGGCGGGGTGGTGGGTGTCTGTATTAACAGCCTGGCCTGGCAGCTCGGCAAACTCAGCACCACCGTAGGCTGGGTTCAGGCTGTTGTGCAGACTGTGGAGGTCTGGCTTCTTCTCAAAACTACCACCGCTGCTCCCATGTCCCCAGGCACTGGGACCCAGGAACTGGGAGGGGAAGACGGGGTTGCTGGAAGGAAAGCCATAGTAGCCAAAGGAGGGAAGTGCGTACTTGGAGTGGAAACCATTGACGGAGGCCAGGCCAGGCTGTGCGTAGCGAGAGTGGTATGAGTATACGCTGCTCATGCTGTAGGGGTCGGAGGGCCGGCAGCTGCCCAGCACCGAGTAGCTCTCTACCACCGCATTGCCACTGTACTTGAAGGAGCTGAAGTGGTTCTGCGGCTCCACCTTGAGGGAGGGCTTTAGGCTTTGCTGGGATAATCCACCCTTCAGAGACAGGCCTGAGGAAGGCAGAGGCAAGGTGGAAAAAGGAGGGTGAGATCACAGGCTGGCAAGGCAAGGCCTAGGTGCAGAGGACAGGGATGGACCCTCCCTCCTTGTCAGGAGAGGCAGTATGGATGAGGTGCTGAGGGTAGCCCAAGTCACATATGGATTTGCACCTTCGGTGCCCCTAAACACAGGTCCTGACCCTGCCAGAGGTGGACCTGACTTCCTCTCTGCTTTCACTCCTCATCTGACCCCTCAAATTCCTCAAGTTTTAATCTTCCCAAAGTGCTAGCCTGGGGGTCACTGCAGGGACTGCTGACAGGGAAAAGCTCAGGTGCTCACAACCCACTGCCCACCCATGGGCCTGCAATCACAGTAAACTCCCCAGACTGAGTGTGGGAGCAGCTAGAAGAGAAGTGAAACACTGTCCAGGGAGCTCGTTTCCAGATAAGCAGTCCGCTTTTCACACTTGCTCAGTGGCTCCACCTGGTCTGATGGTCAGAGTGAAATACCCTAGGACCTTCCCTCCTAAGTGGCCACTGTGATGTGATGTGGAGATGGGGGGAAGGGTGGGATGAAGCCCTGTGAGGTACCTGTTCCCTCACCTGGGTCAGTGGTGATCCCAGCCAGCTCTAGGGCCTCCTGCTTGATCTTTTCAGGCGTGCTCAGCTTCTCCTTCTGCATTTTCTTCTTCTCAGCTGCCGCCTTCCTGGCTTCCAGCTGCCTCTGGCGGCAAGACTTGGCAGGCTCAGGCAGACGCCGGACCTCACGAGGGAAGGCTGTGAGTACCTGGATGGCCCCATTGCCCACCTTGGCATTTTGGTTCTCCTCACTGCCAAATTCATCCGTGCTGGCCATCTTGTAGAGGGGAAGCACATGTAGCTGCTCATCCTCAGGGATTTGGCCCACACAGCGATTGTCTTCCTTGGTCAGGGTGCAGACCTGCCTCATGCAAGGAGAGAAGCCATGAGGTTGGGGTCCATGCTGAGGAGCCCCCAAATATGTGACCTTACCACCAGCCATCTACCTGTTCCCACCACACTCTCTTGATTCTCAGAGGTTCTAAAAACTAACAACACAGAGGCTGCAAGACAACTTTCAAAATGGGTCTGTCACATTATCTCATATTTCCCACTATGCTGGGAGAGGATGGAAGATGGGCACATGGCCACAATGCTGACAAGTGGCTGGGCTGGGACCAGTTCATCTTTGTTACCACTGCATCACATCACCTAGCCACGCTTTGTACCTTCTTGCCTGCACCCTGAACACACAGCTCCTATGTTCTTAAGGTAAATGCTATTAAAAGTGATTTTAGAAAAAATAATGGTAAACATTGGTCACACATGCACACACATGTATATAGTGCTTTTGGGTAACTATTATTCATAATTATTAGGCTTTTAAAAACAACAATTTTTCTTAACATGAATATTTTCTAATGCATTAATCTTCCCACTATGAAGTACACATCCATTATCAAACATTTCAACTTGTTTCTAATATTTTCCCACTACAATTAAAAAAAATCCCTTGAATTACATTGTTTTTGTTTTTTGAGTTAGGGTCTCCTATAACCCCAGCTAGCTTGGAACTAGCTAAATAGGACAGGCTCACCTCTATCTCAGATCTGCCTGCCTTGGCCTTCCGAGTGCTGAGATTACAGGCATACACCACCATACCCAGCTGAATTATATTTTCTGATCCTCTTATTTAAGTTTTTATTGAACTTTTGTACATTTCATGGAACAGTTCTTAATCAAAATTAGACCCCTCCCCCATCCATGCTCTCCTCCCCAACCCCCCACCGGATCTCATGTATTCCACCATACATATTAAGTCCTATCCAGTCAAACATTTGTACCAGATGTCCTTCAGTGCACATCTATCCACTAGAGTCTAGTCAGCCCATCTAGAGATTATAAGTAAGGCATACGCTCCCTCATATAGTAGTAATCAGTCCTCCAATAGTTCTCATGCTAGGGCCAGCCTGTCACCCATTTCTCTTGTTCCAGTCTGGGCCCTAGTTTGAGTTGGCATGGGTCCTGTGCCATACGATCCAATTATACCACTCCTTGGCATATACCTAAAGGACTCATCCTATGTGAAGATACCTGTACATCCATGTAAATGGATGAAACTGGAGAGTGTTACACGAAGTGAAGTAATACAAACACAGAAAAGCAAGTGATGTGTGATGTTTTCTCTCATTTGCGGATTGTAGCAGCAATCCCTTATATGTCCTGATGTAACACCATGAGCCATGAAAGTGGAAAGGCTATGCTTTTATTGAGACATGGTTTTACACTGTAGCTGGTCTTGAACTTCTTGTGTAGACCAGGCTGGCTTTGATCCTTCTTCCTCTGCCTCCTGAGTGCTGAGATTACAGGCATATGCCACATGCTTGGGCTCCAAAGTACTTAATTTCTTAGAAGAGATGCTATGAGGCAGCCCTACCACATTCTGCAAAACTGCCCTAAGATCGATATCTCTCTCTCTCTCTCTCTCTCATACAGTCTCACTATTAGATAGGGTCTTACTATGTAGCTTTGGCTGGCCTGGAACTTACTCTGTAAATCAGTCTGGTCTCAAAGAAATCCACCTGCCTCTGCCTGCCAAGTATTGATATTAAAGACATGTACTACCATGCCTGGCCCAGCCATTATTAACTACTTTGCTCATTATTAAAACATCTTGTTGGCTTCTATTCCTCAACAAGGCTTGTTTTCCGCAAGTTTACTATCTAATCTTAAATATTTAATTTTTTTTTCTGTGTTCTGACTGTAGCATTTAGGACTGTCACCACCCTCCCATCCCCAAGAGGCTGCCCCTGCCAGAGGTAGTTAAATCCTGGAGGTGGCAAAGTCTTCCTAGACTGCACCTTTGGTACATGAACGAGCCAATAGAATCAGACCCACCCCCCAACTACTTTACCAAGTTCATGCAACAAGTAAAATCTCTTGTTGCCCTAGATCACTCCAGGGCCAGGTCCTGGGCATCTGGAGACCACCCTCCTCAGACAACCTCCATAGTCCAGAGCTCTCAGAAATTTTCCAAACCAACAAGTCCAGAACTTTCTCAGTGGTACCCTCCCCCTTGTCCACTCCTTCCTGTTGAAATCCCTATAAAGGTTCTAGTTTCCCTCAGCTCCCTGTTTCCTGACCTGGCCTGGGGCCTGGTATAGCCTCCTGAATCAGGCCACACCTCCTCTTTCTAGGTATCTGTGACTGTAACATTCTTAGATGAAGTTCATTTCTATGTGTCTTATGATACCTGATTAAAACACCCCTTAGGTAGATTTTATTAAATTCTGTCTCCCTTTTCTGAGTTTTGTGTCTTGTGCGCATGTAAGTGCACCCGTGTCGTGCAATGCCCACAAAGGTCAAAGAGGGTGTTAGGTTCCCTGGAACTGGAATTAGAGATGGTTGTTAGCTGCCATGTGGGTGCTGGGAAGCAAACCAGGGTTCTCTACAAGAGCAGCCAGTGCTCTTAACCATTGAGCCATTTCTCCAGTCCCCTTGTGACCATTTTTTAATGTTATTTTTATGTAAAGTCATCTTTGTATATTCTGGCAATCATAGATTCTGCCTCAGTTGGCTTGCTATGCACCATTAGCCACTGTGAGGAATCTGATGACCATCCTGATGTCTGATTTGTGGCATGTACACAGGCTTCCTTCCATACGTGAGGTTACTCACATACCACTGCTATTCTAGGACCTGCTTTAACTCAAAGACATCAAATTACTCACTTTGTACTGGCCTTTCCATTTTGATTGAGTTTTATTTCCTGAACAGATACTTCACACTTTTGTGGTGTCAACTCTATGCATCTCTTCCTTTTGACTTCCTCCCTTAGTGTCACTTTTCCCAGCTTTGTTCTTCCCAGAGCACATAGGTCTTTCAACCTTCTCCACTGTCCTGACGTCTGTGTATGTTCTGGGTTACACTGGCCTTCAGCCTTACTGCTTGCCCTTCTCTAACACCCCATGTGATACACAATAGAGCAAAGGTCAAATATAAAGGGTGTGATATGAGAAGAACTACTATTCCTAACACACACAAGAAACTTTACAAATGTCAAGACATGGCAATCTTGACTAAAAAGTAAGCAACAAAGGACATAATAGATACCCACAAAAATGAAGTTAAAACTGACAAGGAAAACAGGGAAATATGTCCAACTTCTTCAGTATAAAGGCAGCACACCTCTGAGGCAGGCAGAGACTAAGGAGACCACAGGATTCAGGGTTACAGGAAGAAGACCAGGCAATGGATGCTTACAACTATCACTGTTCCTACCCTGGGACTTCTGAACAGAGCTGTGGGGCCTCCTCATGGCATATGGATGGGAACGGTCTGAAATCACCAACTGCTCATTTGTCGGGGGGCTGGTTACATAGCTGATGTCAGAGATGCACATGCAGCTTCAGTAAGTATGAATGTAAATCCAAACCCACTGACGGCAGGCAAACATGTGACCCCATGCAGGTGGAGCTTCATATGCCTTGTATGGCCAGGGTCATACGTACAGCTGTCAGAATGATGGCCATCAAATGCTCACAGTGGCTCTTTCTACAAGATTTCAGACTAGTCTTTTTTATATTACTTAAAAGATTTATTTTTATTTGTGTGTGTGTGTGTGTGTGTGTGTGAATGTATGCCACAAGTGTGTATGCCACACATATGCATGCCTGTGGAGAAAAGAGGAGAACATCAGATACCCTAGAGCTAGAGTTAGAGGTGGTTGTGAGCCTCCTGACATGGCTGCTGGGAACAGAACTAGGGTCTTCTAGAAGAGCAGCAATTGGTCTTAACCACTGAGCCATCTCTCTAGTCCCAGCTTAAAAGTTTTTAAAACGAAAGACTGGGGAGATGGTCAAATGTGCAAATATGAGAACTTGAGTTCAACTCAGATACCACATATTTTTTATAAATAAAGTTTAAAAAGTTTTTATAATGACAGTCAATATTTAAAGTAGTAAAAGTGGCCAGTGTCTGAGAGAAGATCCACGAGTCAGGCGGGTTTGGAGAGGCTGTGGCTTGGGGTCACTGCCCCCTCCGCTTGTCCACCACGTGGGTGCAGCTCTGATGCAGTGGCAGGCCTGGGATACCCGGGCCTCCAGAGGAATTTAAGAAGATTTTATTCATGCATAGAAGATGAGTTCTTCCTCCACCACCATGAATGAAGAGCCTGATGCTAGGTAGTTAACCAGCTTCGGGACTTAGCAACAGATCTATTAAATAGAAGAGCCATCATCCAGGATCAAGGATGTCCACCCGGCCTTATTTTATTTATGGACTGTCCCAACCCCCTGTTGTCCACTCAGCTTTGCTTGCTCTCTGATATTTGGCAGAATGTCGTGCAAAAAGAGAAAAGATGAAAGGAGAACAGGGTATGATGCTAAGCTTGCAGAATGTTATACAGAAGAGTACAACTCCCGGAGAAACAAAACTTCTGGCCTCTGAAACCTATGACATTCTTCAGTCCTCCAGTATGGCTGATGGTGACAGTTTTAATGAAATGAATTCACATCGAAGGAAAGCTCAGTTTTTTTCTGGGAACTACTAACAAACATGCCAAAACAGTGGTTTTGTATATAGATGGTCTTGATGATACATCTTGGAGCAATCTATATGAAGCAGTTTTGCTAAAAATTAAAGGTGTTATTAGCTTTACTTTTCCAAATGGCTGTTCAAAGATGCGTGGTGTGAATCCATTCAGATTTGAAAGCAGAGGCTTTGGCATCAGCAATAGCATCAACCAAGGCCATGAAAGCTCAGCAAGTTGTGAAAAGTGAAAGCAGAGAAGAGATGCTGGTTCCATTCCGAGATACTCCTGTGGAAGAAGAAGGAAACATGGAGCTGCCTGACTACCTGCCTGAGGACGAGAGTCCCACAAAAGAACAGAACAAAGCAGTGTTTGGGGTTGGCTCACAGAGG